ATAATCAGGAGGCCTTGGAGAAACAGGCTCCTGAAGAGACTCGGCTTGTCCGCCCACCCCTGCCACCCCTCCCCCGCCCCGCTCTGCACCCCACCCCCAGCAGGAGTGTACACCCTGCCTCTCTGCTTTGCCATGGATGGTCAATAGCCAATGATGGGTAAGTTACCTCGCGCTGAGGTAAACAAACCTAAGACAGGTATTGGCCGATATTGGCAGCAGATAAGAAATTGGGGGACATCGAGAAGGGGGAAAAAGGCCCCCACACCTCTCGGCTTGGCTTGGACACTGCCAGCCGGAGTCCTCATTGCTGCTGACAAGCAGTCTCCTTATCACTTGGTGGTTCCCTACCCACACCTTGCTCAGGCTTGCAGCAGTGCAGGAGTCATCTGTGAATCAGGTCTGATGGTTGCCCAGGAAATCAGGCCTAAAAGTAATTTCTTTAAAATGTGCTTTGTTCTTTCCTCAGATCTCTGGCCAACTCATGCTGCAAAGAACATTCACATTATTTACACCCCTTACCTGGTATCGTTAAGACATTCACTCTACACCTTTTACCCTATATCTTTTAGGCGCCTTTAAGTCTACTTTCCCCTTACCTATAGTCTCTATTGTTGATTCTAGTCTCCTCTTGGACCCATGTAAATCAGTGTACTCCTGTCACTTGTCTTGTTAAAAGCATCATATATTCACTGTGAAACTTACCATACCGATATAAGGAGATAACGTATGCATTCCTGTTACATACCCCACTGATAAGATTTTCAGTAAAAGCCTTGGAAAAAAGGGCAACGGGGCCCTCCCGACTAGAGTGATGTGCCACAGCCTTCTCCGGTAAGAGGGGAGTGCCCCGTTTGTTCTGCTGGCAAACAGAGAAGTGTTTGCGACGTTTTGTGTTTGTCCCCCTTATCCGTGACAACCCCGGCTCTGTCTGTGGGTTTCAGAGACCTTGCTCCCACCTCAGTTGGCCCCAGCTGGTTTCCCTCAGGTTCAGGGGGCACTGCGCTCTCTGCGGCGCTCTCCTGCAGCAGCATGCCTCCTATAGCTCCTGTGCAGTGCCACATTACCTTATTTCTGTAAGATTAGTTTTCAAACTAAAACAACATAAGACACAAAATATAATATTTGGAAGAATAGCAGACTTCTGCCTCAGAGCCTATCCGCTCTAGAACACTCAAAGAAAAATAACCCTTCCAACCTCTCCCAGGCCAGACCAATCCTACGCTGTGCCCAGAGTTCCTTCCCCCTTTGAAAATACTGTCTTTGTGGTAATGCAGGTGGCTACAGCACAATCAGCCAGCCAACATCGAGGAAGAGAAAAAGCCAGTCTCTGCCTGCCTTCTGTTTTAAATCATCCAGCCTACAACTCTTTGCATACGTGAGGTGTTCAGCTTCTCAGCCAGTCCTATCCCAAACTATTTACCATTGCCTTGGACAACCTCCTCTTATGGCCCCTATTCCCCCCCAGTAATCTGATCAGATCTCTTCGTATAAGTATGTGTCTATCCATTTTATTTTTCATTCCCTCTCAGAGATTCCCTGACTTTGCTTTCTCCTACCTCCCTAATCACCAGTGAATTTCACTCCCTATGTCTTCCCCTTTGATTCTGATGTATAAAATAAATGGTAAAATTGCCACTTTTTTTTTAGCACTTTCCCAATTTGTTGAGATTTTGCTTCCAGGCAATTGCCATCAGTTTGGCTAAAATAAAGTCATAGAAATTCTCTGCTGGTTTGGGTATTTCTTACATGGACACAGGCAAGATCCACTAATAAATACTAAAATTAGTGGTCTAGTGTCTTGGCTGGTGTGGCTCAGGTGCATCATTTTACAAAGTGAAATGTTGCCATTTGATTCCTGGTCAGGGAACATGCCTGAGCCTCAGGTTCAGTTCCCAGTCAGGGTATGTACCAGAGGCAATGTTTCTCTGCCTCACTTTCTACCCCCCGCCTTCCCTCCTCTCTAAAAATAAATAATGAAATAAAATCTTAAAAAATAATAAAATTAGCAGCAATAATTTTAAATATACAGTACATTTGCATAGTCTCAAAATTTCTCTCCCAGTTTCTCTGTAATTTACTAATACACAGTGGTTTTAAAATATGACCACAAATTTAAGATGGAACTTATTTCCTCTTCCCCTGAATGCGCACTTGACTTAGTAATCAACTTTGAGATGTAGACTGGAAAGGAAAAATCCTAACTGTATAGTGGTGAAACTTTTCAGACACCACCTTATGCAAGTAACCAAGATTGATAACTCATGTTGATATCATATGTTCCCATGTTATCATAGGAGGGAGAGCAAGAGAACATTCTCTCTGAGGTATTCTTCCTAAAATTTATAATTTCAGAACAATCAGGAGAAAACATCAGACAAATTCAGATTCAGGGACATTTTCAAAATATCTGATCACTATTCTTCAAACATCAAAAGGTCATTAAAGACAAGGAAAGAACAAACAGTTACAGGTTGTGATATTCTGCACTGAATCTTGAATCAGTAAAAGGATATTGGTGAAAAAAAATGATGAAATCTCAATAAACTCTGAAATTTAATTATGTCAGTAGGAATGGGCACCAGACCTTACCAGACCTCACCTCAGTGGTCTTGGTAATTGGGTTCTCGCTAAGAAAGAATTCAGAGTCAAGACTCAAATACAAGCAGTCATTTATTTAGAAAGTCATTGAGGTATGAGAAGTGAGCTGTGGAAGAAGTGAGCCATCTGGGCTGCATGGGCTCAGAAAACAAGTTACAGAGGCAAAAACCAAAACCCAAACACCCCTTGGAGCTTAGGAAAAAGAAAGTCAGGGAGAACATGCCTGGAGGAGGGAGAGTGGAAAGGTGCAGAAATGTTCCAGAGAGAGAAGAGTGCTGAGTCCTTCGTCTTGAGGGTTTTTATCTGCTTCCAAAGGCAGGTACATACGGGTAGTTCCAGAGAAAGGGCACAACAGAATGTTCATCAGCATTCCAGGTATGTCCTTTCAGGGTTGTAGTCTCCACTGATTGGTTGGTGCCAGGGCAGGGGGGTATTAGTCATTGCACTAGTCCTGATGTCAGCCATGGAGTTACCCAACCTGGCCTTGCCCCACCTGACCATGCTGCTTTTCTAGTACTGGAGCTAAACCACAGCTGAGGCCTGGATGTTGTCTCAATGGCTTAGTGTTTAAGGGATTGGTCATGCAAGACTCATATGGGAGTCACACGAGGCTATTCTTCAGCCCCTTGTTCCTCCCTTAAGGGGAACCTACCACATGTCTAGCACTGCCAAGGGAGGGAAGGTGAGGAGAAGGTCCAAACCACTTGACCCATGATATGCTAGGGAAGGAAAGCTTACCCTAGGGGTGAGGTCCTTGCTTCCCAGTTTTGCCTGTTGTTATGCACTTTCTGCCCTAGTGACCTCTTCCTGACCTATCCTCTTTGCTCTGTTCATGCCTAACTGCCTTCTACAGTTATAATAATTGTACCTGGATTACTTTCTTAGTTTTGATAAATGTGCCATGGTTAGGTAAAATGTTAACATTAGGAGAAGCTGGGTAAAGAGTATGTGGAAATTAGCTTTGTAACTTTTCTGTAAATCTCAAGTTATTAAAAAATAAAAAGTAAAAAAAAAAAAAAAAAGACATTGACCAGAAACAGTTCACTACATTTTGTTTCATAGAAAGCTCATCATAAAATGTGCCCCCCACCACAGAAAAATAAAACCCTCATAGACACACACACACACACACACACACACACACATACACACACTATAGTGATTACCAGAATGAAAAGGGGGGTGGGGGAAGTAGAAGAGGGTAGAAGTAGAAGATTAATGTCACCTCAATAAATTCAATAAAAATTAAATAATAAATATAGTAGTAATATGCTCTTATGATCATACTGTGCTAAAAATGTCAGGAGGATGTGCACATAAAAGAATGTATATTTGGTGTCAGGTAAATTTTGGTTGGTTTCAGGAAACGGTGTGTGTCCTCTTTATACGAAGTTTCTTACATATGGGCAATTTTTATTAATTGTAAGATACCAAACTGTTAGTTTGCTTTTCCCTCATTTCAGAGAGTAAGGATGGTCACAAATATTAGTTTAGATAAATTTATTTTCTAACTGCTAAAAATCTTATCTAAAGTATAACGACAACTGTTCACGTTCAGACACAAAATTCTCGCACACGTTTCCCTTCTCTTTGAGAATCCTGCATCCCGACAACAGGAGTCTCTCATACAACCATCACTCAACTCAGTAAACAAGGCAGAAAACTTGGTGATTTCTAAAAGAGCAGGCGTGGTGTACACACCGAAAAAGGTAATCTTGAAAACGTATTTAACAATTTACGTGCCAGACACTGTTCTAAGTGCTTTCATAATGTAAACACCTTTAGTAGTCATAAAAACCTTGTTAGCTAGATACCACTATTAGCGTGCTTTCACAACTTAGGAGCAAGGTATCACTTCACAAGGTACAGCCACTTTTCCAGTCCAAAATGTCAGGAGAGAGGCTCCCCCCGCTCCTCCACCCTTTGCGCCCTGTCCTCCCTCTGCGCATGTGCAACCCCGCCTCCTCCGGCCAGTTCGTCCTTCCGAGCCTCCAGCCCTCGGAGGGGAAACAATCCCAGGCCTCCAGCTCCTTGCGGCAAGGGAGCTGCGGGTGAGCCTCGGAGGGTGGAAACGGTTCAAGGGTGAGGCGGTGCCCAGTTATAGGGAGGTGTCCCACGAACCCCAGCGGGAATCCAGGCGTCTGTGACACCGCTGAAGGGACGGCGGTCGGGGGCTTCCCTATCCAAAGAGGCCTGCGTCTTGGGACGCGGGCTCTCGGGCTGGCGGGGTCCGCGAGTATCTAGCCCCTGTGCTAAACGGGCAGCGCCCTCGTGTGGCCGCCGACGGGGAGTGCGCGTGCGTGACGTGTGCGCTGCGGAAGTATGCGTGCGCGACTTCTGCGCACGCTTGACTTTGCGGCGTGCGTCCGTGCGTGCGTGCGTGCCCGCCCGCGTACCCGCGTGCCCGCGTGCGCGAGCGCGCGGACCCAGTAGCCCGCGAGAGGCTCGGGTTTTTTATCTGTAAAATTCGGGTATTAGGAATACTTGCTGCGTTATGTTCTGAGCCCCTATATTTTGTTAGCCGCTTTATATTTTTTTGGTATATTATACGTGCAACTGGAGCTTGAACAAGTCTTTAGGGCCTCCATCTTTCAGTGAACTCATTAGGGAAATGGAATAGGGAAAGGGCTGGACTAGCTAGCCACAAGGCCCCTTCTTGGCTCTAACATTCTCCGGATCCCAAATTATTATTTATTTTGTTTTCATTTGTTATTTGTTATGTATAATCATGACACAGTATCCTGAAGCCATGGAAGGCTGTGTGGAGCGGAAGGTCTGGGACAAATTTCAGAAGACAGAGGTGAGGTGGAGTTGAGGGGTGGGCGCATAAGCTGTATTGTAACTGTCACCCCTTTGGAGAGTTTGTGACCTTATAGTCAGGGAAGAAACTATGGAAATTCTGTCATAATTCTTCCCTAGATACCTCCTGCTCCCCTCATGCTTGGTTTACTCCGTTAATTCTTTCCAGAGGTGAGGTGCCCTCGGTGTCCCATTGATTGTTAATGGTATCTGGAGAGATGCTTGAGGTTCCCTCTCTCCTGGTCTTACATACACACACAGGGTGGTAGTGCAGGCAGGTTCTTTTTGGATTATCTGGTTTGACCTTATTTGAAAAATTTTTGAAAAATGAGTATGCTCGGATCATGCAATTTGTTAAGTGGTGGAACCAAGATTGAAAGCTAGGTCTGCGGATTCCTGAGCTACTGCCCGTTTTTCTCAGGTCAAAGTTAGTTTCTTATTAAAGGATCCTTTTGAAATTTTAAGCAGCTTAGAACAAATATAAAAAAATTTTCCGTGTCTTAAACATCCCCATCCCTTTTTTCAGAGGTTTCTTGGATTATTTGACCTCAAGGGATCAATGGTGTTAGCAGGTAAATAGATAAACAGTATGGCTTGAGGCCTTTTTTTTCTCTACAACACCAGTTTTAACAAATCCATAGTGCTTCCTTCATTAGATTACTGTTCTATGTTAAACTCATCTTTTTATGTTTTTAATTTTTGTGTCACAGAACCTAAATTGATAATAAATCAATAAGAAACAAATGTTTACATTCACTCAGTGAAAAATATGTCTAAGCTCAACATATATCGGAGCTACACATGGACATGTAAGTATCTTATGTGTGGAACTCTGTAGGCAGGTGAATGCAGGAACTGCAAAGCAGGGCAACTTCTCCTGACTTACTTCTTCCTTTTCCCTCAGCACTGCTTCCTCCATGAACAGAAAATGAACAAATCCCAGGTGAGGTTTTTTTGTTGGTTTATTTGTTTATTAATACCCACTTGTTTAAAATGTGTTTCCTAAAATTTGTAAGTTTTAATGTTTTTCTAATGAAAAAGTAGAAACAGGCATAATTTTACATTAAGGGAAATGTGGGAAGAGTAGAAAATCCAAAGTGGAACAGTTGGTAAAATTAGATGCAGGATATTTAATTTTACAGTTATCCAAGTTATTGTTAAATTTCTTTGATCTTTCTAAATACAGCACTGGAAAAAATGCATTATGTTGCCTGTAGTCATTGCTTGGTGGAAACAGCAACAGTGATAAGGCAGAACTCAGAGCATGTAGTTTTCAGATTTGAGTTGACCTCTCTCTCCTGGTCCTGCCTGATCCAGGAATAAAATCATGTAGATTTGGTTGAACGGAGGTACTTTATGTCCCCAAAATAATGTCCCATAAATGTTGTCAGCTCGTTTGTATTTCTAGCTTGAGTAGTAGACACCTCTTACTTTCATTTCCGCATTTGTCATTTACATTTCAACCTAATGAATGCAGTCTTGGTCCTTCACCATTGCTAACTTGAATCAGTTCTGGAAAAGGTCACCAAATTGTAGTAAAATCCAATTTTTGTCTTTGCCCTACTTGACCCCTCTGCAGTATTTGACACTCTTAGCTATAGTCTGTTTTGAAAGTCTCCTCTGTGTTGTCTATAACACTTTTCTCATAGCTGTCTTTTCCTAACTCTGATGGAATTTCTTTCTACACCCCCACCCCTCCCCATGAAGTGTCTTTTCCTTTTGCTCCAGACATTCTTTATCCTTGGGTTATTCCTTATCCATTGCTTATCTATTCTTGGTCCATTACTCTCCTCGGTTATCTTCTTTTAAATGAAAATTTTTAATTGGTAATATATTAACATGGTTTAAAAAGTGATATAGAAGATGGTAAGTAAAAACTCATACTTCATTCACTCTGTACCTCATGTTCCCTCTAAGTACAGTGACATTTATCATAAAAACTGAAACATTTTTCACTAAGAATGAAAGAGATTCTACAAACAATTTTGCTGGGACAACTGGTATATATTGGAACAGTCCCAGAAAACTGGAGTATATGGCCACCTTACTATTAGTATCCATTATTAATAGTTTCTTGTTTACCTTCCCAGTGTTTCTTTATTCAATTAATAGAAAATATGTTTGCATATTCTTGTATGCCCTCTCTCCACTTAAACAGAAATCCATTATCTTTAAATGCTTCTCAAATTTTGATGCAGCTGCACATCACTGGCATTTTGTTAAAATGCTGATTTTAATGTAGTAGAGCTTGGTGGGGCCATGGATTCTCTATCTCTAATAAACTTCCAAATGAAGATGATTCTGCTGTTAAAGGAACCACGCTTTGGATAGCAAGTCCGTACACTGTTTTCCTTTTCTGTTAGTGGTTGTGGTGTTTTTTTCCACTTCGTTTTTCATCCTGTCTCAGAGATCTCTTTGTAGCAGAACATGGATTGCTGCTTCATTTTATGTTATAACTGTATAGTAATTCAGTTATGGATGTTCCATAGTTTATTCAACTAGTTACTAACTTACTTCCAACCTTTTTCTATTACAAGCCATGTTTTAATGAATAACCTTGTGCATATAGATTTATTCTGTCAGATAAATTACCAGAAGTAGAATTGCCAGATCAAAGGGTGAATACCTTTTGTTTATCAAGTTGATAAACTTGATCAGTTTGGTGGGATTGTAATATCATTTTGTATTCCCTTTACACTACATGAGAGTGCTTATTTCTCCATAGCTATTCGTTATATATCATGTGGCTCAACTTTTGGCCACTGATAGGTAAAAAAGTGATATTTTATGTACTTTGCATCTGCAATATCCTAACTATGAGTGAGGCTGAATATTTTTTGTATCTAAAAGTTGTCTTGTATTTATGTTTCAGTGAACTATATCTGTTCATACCTTTTGCCTATTTTGCTCCTAGGTTTTGGCTTTTATCTATTGATTTTTCAGTGTTTAGTTAGCTCTTTATATACACATATTAGGGATACTAATGCTTGTTTATTATATGAGTTATAATTTTCTGGTATATCATTTGCCTTTTGATAATTGCTCATGGTATTTTCCCTCCGTGCAGATACTCTGTTTCAGAAGACCACGTTTCACTTAACTCATCAGGTTTCCCTAGACTCCAGTTGGTGTGACAGTTTCTCAGACTATCCTTGTTTTTGATGACCTTGACAGTTTTAAGGAGTACAAGTCAGGTGTTTTGTAGAATGTCCCTCAGTTAGGAGTTGTCTGCTCTTTTTCTCATGGTAGACTGGGATTATGGGTTTCTTAAAGGGAGACCACACAGGTAAAGTGTCATTTGGTCATGTCCAGTCAACGGTAAAAGCTCTAACATGACTTCCAAGTTGATGTATCATTGCTGATCACCCGGCTGAGGTCTTGTGGTCAAGTTTCTCCACTGTAAATTTACTCTTATTTCCTTTATTTCCATACTGTATTCTTTGGTAGGAATTTGGGAGTGTTAAAAATAAAAGGGCCTTTTCTTATTGATTTTAGAGAAAAAGAGAATCACTGATTTGTTGTTCCACTTATTTATGCATTGATTGGTTTGATTTTTGTGTATGCTCTGACATGGGATTGAACCTGAAACCTTGGGGTATTGGGATGACACTCTAACCACCTGAGCTACCCAGTCAGGGCAAAAAGGCCTTTTAAAGTGAGAGGCAGAAGGTATTTATTGAGATCAGTAAGAATAACTACTTTGAGAATCATTATTTCAGGCCAAAGTCCAAATAATGTTCCAATTAGGAGACAAAGGCAATGGGTATTTATTTATAAGAAAGGGAAGGGAACGATTACATCAATAGAAGGAGGGCATTTCTGTTGGTGCAGATTAACATAATAATGCTAATTCTACATAATGTTTTTAATTTTTCAGTCCAGTAGTCATAGTACTTTCTTGTAATCTTTGCAGACAATTCTTTGGGAAACAAGATTGCTTAGACCCAGTCTAAAGGTTATTTTGCCCTGTTTTAACAGTCTAAAGGTTTGAGACGTAAGCCATGCTAGCCATTTTCTCTTAGGTGATGGCTCTAGCTCCGTTTCAAAGTGGCTCTATTTATATTATTGTTTACGTGTCCCCCCTTTTGATCAAGATCTTTTGAAAGCATCACTGATTGGTTATTAAAAGCACCATTGGCCCTTCATTTGTCAGGTGGCTCATTTTGAGTATGACATGCCATTTTTGGTCCCGCACCTCAAGGAACGCTCAGTTCCAGTGTGTCTTATACCGCATAGGAAAGTTGTTTGTTTGTTTTTTTTTACTTCGGAGACTTAGTCCACATTTGAGCAACAAAAATGACAGAGCAGAAAAAGGCTTTATGTATGTAGTTACTTGAAGTTTCTCATGTGAATTCTCCACTGGCCTTAGTGGTCATCTCAAAACATTGAGCAACCATTGTCAGCATGGCGTCTTTATAACATTGAGCTATGTAAAACAAAGTTCTGTAACAGCAAAAATTTCTGTAATAACAAACAAGATGTTAATTTCAGTTTGAAGAATAGTTCTGAACCAGGAGGTGCAATCAGCTGAAGATAATTAAAGAACTGTGTGGAGTTAGTGGTTGCTGTATTTAATTACTTGTTTTGTGGCCAGATTTTGTCC